CTTATCTCTAGGTTTCTTCCGCTTAGAGTGGCGCCTCGACATTAACAACTTGACTTCTTGGTACTCAAAGGTGTTGGATTTCACATATCCCTCATTGTTGAGTTCGGATAGCAAGGTGTTGGGTTCCTTGGAAGTATTTGTGTTTCTTCCTCTAATCTTCATTTCTGCTTTCTTTGCATTCCAAAGGCGTTGGTTTTTATATACCCTTTGTTGTTGGATTCAAGACTAAGAAGTTGGGTCCAAGGGAGTACACGAGATCATACAAGAACGGTCCGACACATACTGAAATCTTTCTTGAAGGTTTCATATCATTTAAGGCCAAACTTTCCCTAAGCGTTTTGGACCGCACGCAGGACAATGTGAAAAAGAAGACGAGGTCCTAGAAAATAACCATAAAGAACCGATTGGAAGGATTTGGCCATACCTTTTGTAACTTCCAAAGGAAAGAAGATCCGTGGTTTAACACTCTTCTCAACCGGAAAATAAGTGAGCTCTTGCTTTGAAGTGCCTCCCACAATTTTAGCAAAGGACTTTGGAGATACCATGCCCGGATCACCCCTAATAGCCGGAGAGAGACGTTCCCACACCGAAACCCTCTGAGTCGGACCTCCATTAACCCAACCTTCTTCCGTATACCGTCATGCAAAAGGGATCCTTTCAACAAACTAGGAACCGTCTCATCCAGGATTATATCGGCGAAATCCTGGGATGAGTCTTCTTCTAAGATAACATCCGCAAAATCAGACATCATAACCAACGCAAGAATACCTAGTTTACTAATTCCCTAATCAAGAAGCCGTGGTGCTGAATCCCAAGTCAAGCGTTCTCAATAAAATAGACGAAGACCTTACAGGAAGGTGCTGAATATTCTATCAATAAACTCAACCAAGGAGACGAAGACCACAGAATCACTTGACGCAGGAAAAGAAAACTAGATAACGACACACAACCAACCCGCAACCAAAAACTGTCAATGGACGAAAGGAGAAAGCAAACAAAACCAAACAGCACACAACAATACCACGATTGCATTCAAACCCTAGCCGTGCAACCCTAGGCGCATGCAAACCCTAGCCAAGAAAAACCACAAACAGCCAACCGTGGACTCAACCCGTGAGCAAAGGCCACAAGCAATCAAATCCCGATGCTAAACCCAAAATACCGATCACAACAACCAAGAAAGGCGGCACAAACCCTAGGAAACAAGAAAGCATGCAACAACGGCCAAAAAGAAACCCTAGCCGTGAGCAAAACACTTCACGGCCAAGATCGAAAGTAACAACCCAAAATGGGGAGGAGGTATTATGTGTAAATTAGATCGGATATTGGGGAACTCGGAGTTTATTGATAGATTTGGGGATGCCTCGGTTTTCTTTGAACCAAGAGGGATCTCTGACCATTCACCGGGTATTCTAACGTTCAAAGTAGGGAGAAGACTTAGAAAACGTGGCTTTAAGTTTGATAATTTCCTGACTTCCCATGAGGATTTCCTCAGTTCGGTTGAGGGAGTATGGGCGAAACCGAAGAAAGGCTCCTACATGAAGAAAGTTCTCCTTAAAATGCAAGATATGAAAGGGGTTTGCCGTAGACTAAGAAATTCGTATGGATGCTTGRATAAGAAGGTGGCATTGTTAAAGGCGGAACTTAATGTTGCTCAATTGGCTTGTGACCTAGATCCATTTAATGATATGCTGAAAGAGGACATTGCTCACCTCTTGTTAGCATATCAACAAGCTAGGAATGATYAATTGGAAWTGGTTAGWCAAAAGGCGAAGATTTCTTGGTTRAACGAGGGGGATGGAAATTCTAAGTTCTTCTTTCACTCCATGAGAGAGAAGCGCAATAGGAACCACATTGCTGCTATTAAGGACTCATTTGGAATGGTATTTGAACATGATAAAGTACCAAAAGCTTTTGTTAATCATTTTGCAGGTATTTTGGGTTCTTGTGATGCGTTGGTTAACCCTTCTATGGAAGATTGTTCTTTCGATCGTCTTTGTCTTTATCGGAGTCTCTACACTTAATAAGACCCATTACGGATATGGATATAAAGACTGCTCTATTTGATATTGGTAATGAAGAGGTCCCGGGTTCTGATGGGTTTTCTTTGAAATTCTTTAAAACTGCTTGGAGTGTGGTGGGTCGGGATATTCTTATTACGGTACATAATTTCTTCTACTCGGGCACCTTAGAGTATCAGTTGAATCACACATTGCTTTGCCTTGTTCCGAAAGTTCCTAATGCGTCCTGTGTAACTGATTTTCGGCCCATAGCTTGTTGTAATGTGTTGCTTAAATGTATCAGTAAAATCATTGCGGACAGGATGAAAGGCTCTTTGGATGTCCTTATCAGTAAGGCCCAATCTTCTTTCGTTCCTGGAAGACAGATTACTGATAACATTTTAATGGCACATGAGCTTGTAGCAGGTTACCAGAAACCCCAGGGGGAGCCAAAATGTGCGTTCATGATCGATATCAGGAAAGCTTATGACACAGTTGACTGGAAGTATCTACTTGGGATGTTGAAGGGAATGGGTTTTCATCCAGTTATGATTAATTGGATAAAGTTGCTAATCTCAACGCCAACGTTCTCTATTTGCATTAATGGTCAGTCGGAGGGATTCTTTCAGGGAAAGCGCGAGCATTGACAAGGAGGTTTAATATCTCCTCACTTGTTTACTGTGGTAATGGAAGGATTATCGATGATCCTAAAAAAGTGTATTGATGAGGAGGTGAATTTTGCTTACCACCAAGGATGTGAACACATCAAGTTGACCCATTTATGTTTTGCAGATGATCTTTTTATTTTCTCTCGAGGGTTGAAGTGATAAAACAGGCTCTCCAAATGTTTGAGGTAAGATCGGGTCTGTCTCCGAGTCTCGAAAAAAGTGAGGTGTTTTTCGGGAATGTAGAGTTGGATGTTCAAAACGCCATTCGAAATTGCCTTCCATTTCGTCCAGGGGTGTTTCCTATTCGGTACCTGGGTGTTCCCCTCTCTCCGGTTAGATTAAAGGTACGTGACTTCAACCCTCTTGTGGTTAATCTTAAAACTCGTTTGATGAATTGGAAAAACAAATTTCTATCCTATGGTGGTAGAAGACAACTCATCATCTCTGTCCTTCAATCTATGCAAACATATTGGATGTCGGTATTTCTAATCCCG